GAGGAAAAATTATTTTAAGCAGAGATAATCTCTAGTTATGTAAAAGTTTAAGGAAGGAAAAAAAATAGTTTTCTCCAAATTAATTCAATGGTAGTTGAAATAAAAATAGGTTAAGAGTAAAGATCAGTAAATGTTCTGGGTATTGCAGTATTTGGTGAAGCTACTCAGTTCCTCACACCTCTTTGCAGAGTCAACAGGAGACACCTGAAAGAACTAGCAGGAATGGAAAAACATTCACCACTGGTGGTGCTTCAACAGAGATGTGAAAACTGTCAGGGATTACTGCCAAAAAGATTCTAAAAACTTCTAAATCAATACAATTAACAATTTAACCCTAACATTACTGGTATTTAGTACTAATATTGATGACGAAAAACTGGGCCAGAACTAATATTTTTTTTAAAAAGAGCTGTATGTTCAGCTGTGCAATCTGAATCATAGATTCATAGAATGGTTGGGTTGGAAAGGACCTTAAGGGGTCATCTTGTTCCAGCTCCCTGCTATGGGCAGACATACTTTCTACTAGACCAGGTTACTCAGAGCCTCTTCCAGTCTGACCTTGAATGTTTTCAGGACTGGGACATACATAGCTTCTCTGGGCTTCTTCCTGTGCCTCACCACCCTCACAGTGAAGAATTTCTTACTAATACCTAATCTAAATCTACTGTCTTTCAGTTTAAAGCCATTACTCCCTGTTCTTTCCCTTTCTGAAGGTGAAACACCTGCTAACATCAGAAGGAATGCCAGACCTTGATGCTTAGGGACAGCCTGCTTCTTTTCAGCCATGAAAATGTCTTGCTAGATTTCCCACTGTTGTGTGTAGACTGGTACATGGGCTGACTACATGATCTGAAGTGCTGCACATGGCTTATATAGACCAGTGCTGAGCTCTGTGACCTGGCTTTTTCTTTCCTTTATTCCCAGGAGCTGCACTAGACCTTCCTGTAAATGTCATTAGAAGAAGTGTGCTAGGGATCAAAAACAACAGTCAAACAAATAGCTCAAGAACATGAGCAGAAAGCTAGCAATATGGTTAAAATATTAGAGACAAAGAGGTACATGAAAAGAAGAGAAATCAACCTCCAGTAAATTGAATCAACTTTTCATAACACTGCAACTTAAAATCTTCATGGTACTTTCCCATAAAGAAAGTCCTCCTGCTTCAGGAAAACATTTTGAAGCCTGCACTATCCTAAATTAATGGCTGAATCAATCTTATCATTATTACACCTCAAAAAATCAATATCTGGATAAAAATACTCAAAACTACACTAAGGCAATGAAGCATTTTGCAGAGCTAAGCTGCAACTGGCTTTATAAGATGCTATGTTTAATCACATTAGAGGAGCCATATGTGGCAGGAACACAGTTATCTGTATAAAATCCAAGAAGAAATGTACTCATTATTGTGTACGTGTGGGTGAAGATAGGATTTATAATACTGTTTCTAGCTAAGTTTGCCTGCAGCTTCAAATCATATGACATAGTTTAAATACTTTTTAAACTTCAAAGCTCTCAGTTATTCTGGCTTCAATGTTCTATACTGTATTTCTAGTCTCATGATGAAACTCAGTTAGAACACTTCAGGTAAAAATAAGTATGGAGAAGAAGAGTTAAAGAGTATATGTTTGTCTTCATAATATGAAACTTGATTATAACAGATTGGGGGGAAGTCATCTGGAATACTGTTCATCATGCCTAGACCTGAATTTCATTAGTGGGATGCCAATGCTCCATTGTTATTGTGGAGAAAAAAAACCAAGCAAAACACAACATTCAAGGCTGTACTTAAAAATTGTGTTACAGATCTGAAACATAACTCAGATGAAAAAAAAGGAAACACAAATCCATAATAATTCAGTCTGAAGAAACACTGAGAAAGGACAAGGCAAAATAAGGATCAAATGGGGTTTAAAATGTGGTTCCAGGCTGAGAATACCATCATCATGCTCAGCCTTTGATGCTAAAGCCATCTTTAAACAAATACTATTCCCATAAATGTCTGGTATGTATTTCAAAACATTACCATCTTTGCTGCATTCTGAATGATGGGAAAAGGAAAGGTGTTTCAAACAGAGGACTTAACTAAAAAATTAAGTATATTTCTAAATACAGATACATATATATGTAGACCTAAATAGCAGAAGAAATAAAGTATATTCTTTCTTTTTCAAAAAATACACAAAACCAAAACAAAAATTTTTATTTGATCTAAAGCACTGGAGAAATTTGGGGCTTGGGGTCATAGGCTGCAAAGATATTAGAAAAAAAATTATTTCAAAAATGCATAGTGCTCAGCTTTGAGTGGTACATTCGTTTTATAATTTATATTAAACTATTTAGAGTAATGACATACATACACACACACACACACATATTTATATATATATGAAATATAGTTCTGAGGACACTGATAGTTGCCTTCCTGAGAAAATGTTCTTCCTTTTTGACATGAATAGTTCATGTGCTGGAAATAAAGAAGACACTCTTCGTCTCCTTAGGCTTCAGTTTGGAATACCAAACTATTCTTTTTGTTGTTGCTGTTGTCCTGTTTTATTTTAGCTTTCAAAATACTGAAGCAATGTGGCATAAAGAAATATTTTCAGATATCCTTATTTATAAGGCTAATAAAGGTTTACCTGTATATTTAGAAGTATAGTTCTCCTCTGTACAGGTGTTAAAGTCATGTTCTTGTTAAATGTTGAGATTTCTGTTTGAATGTGACTTGAGGTTTTGCTGTGATCTTTCTGCCAAATTCTTTTTCAACTTCAACAAATGAATATAGCTCAGGTAATTCAATGTGCAGAATGACTCACAGTGTTGTAAAACTGTTTATGGGGACCTGATCTGAATTAATTTTAGAATAATCCCACTCTGCCTGTTTCAGCACAGCCATTTGCTGTCAGCGCAGACAGATTTTGCCCCCAGGACAATTAGTGTTTCTGTAACTAAACAGGTGAAGATACATTGACCCTTTTCTTTGTAAGCAAATCTGCTTGCTGGCTGGATAAAAAGGAAGCAGGTTAGACAGATTTGGTAATGACACAATTTTAATGTAAGGAAAGTTTATGCTGGCTTTTGTGGAAAAAAAATTAGGAAGCCCGTCAGTATGTTACTTGGAACCACTCAATGCATGGGTCATAAAAACACAGTGCAAGCTAAACAGAGGCTTGTTTACACTCCCCCCAGACTACAAGCCTCCATGTACTTCCAAGATTAGCTGCTGAAGGGGATATGTCTATACAAACAACAGATTTGTGGTCTTTTGGTTTTTTGTTGTGGTTTTTTTTTAATAGAAAATGTGATTACTGGTTAAAATAACTGTCATTTAAAGGTATGAGAGCAGTTCAGTATATTTAGTAAATTCTTCTGAATATGCTGTCGTAGTCTTCTTGTATCTATTAGTTTTGTGAAGAGTCATCACTTTATCAGAAAACTGATCTTAAAACCTGCTTATTTCATGTTTTAAGGGTAAGGTGGAAATGAAGAGTCAAACACAAGGCAGAAAAATATGTTCAAATACTTTTAGCCTTTTTCACTCTCCCCAGTGTAGTTGGTGAACAAAATTATTTTACTATTCTTTTGATTCATGCTCATTGAGTAAACTGATTATTTACAAGAAAACAAATCTTTTAAAAACTTCATTTTAGTGAATTCCTTCTTTGGTTTAAAGATGTCAACTTAGACATTTCAACACATAAGCTTCCTCCAGACCTTGATCCATTTGAGCATTGCTACCTGATGCTTTTGCTTTCAGGTAGTTAGATTATTTGATTATTTTAGTTGATTATTTGGATTCACTCAGAGGGATCAAAGTAATTTGTCATATTTATAATTTTCTATCTTAAAATTTTTTGCCTTTCTTTTTATCTATGACCATCTTTGGCTTTTTTCCCAGTCTTAAAGTGTCACTTAAACTGGGAGGACTCCTCAAAATAACCTCCACTGGTTCAGAGGTTGTTTTGGCTATTTTCTGATATATTGTCGATTGAATTCCCAAGGCCCTGATGATTTGGAACCACCCAATTTATCTCAGTACTTTTATTTTTCCTCATAATCTGTTCAGCACAAGTTAGAGTGTCAAATACCTGCTTGCAAACTTTATTGGGGAAGTTGAATATAGGAGGCCAAATCCTCCATTTTAAGTGTCTTTTTAAATGAAGCCCGAAATTACACTGCAGGAAGGTATAGCTTACAAAAGAAAACTTTTAAAAAAATTTATAAAAGACGAGAACGGCAGACGAGCTGAGGGGTTTCTCCCCCTTTACCTGGCGGGTCCTTGCCGGGCCGGGCTCTGATTCTGTACCCACCGCCGCCGAAGGACAGAGGCGGTGACGAGGCCCGTATTTCCCTCAGCGCCTTCTGTACGTGCGAGAGCAAATCCCACTGAACCTTCCCTCCACAAAGTTACCGCGGGTCGGGGATGATGCCTGCTGGCCACCTTCACCCAAGGGTCTGGATGTTTCCAGCCTCCACGGTGACTGCGGTATCTCGGCGCTCACACTCCGCCGACCGCGGCCTGCGGGCGTGCGCCCTCCCAGCACCCCGTACGCCTCCACCGCAGGAAACAGGTGGGGAGGTGGGCAGGGCGAGCCCGCTCCCGCCAAGTCCTCACGTGCATTATTGCACTTATCTATATGCGAGCCGCCGCTCCCCCTGCACCTCGCCGGTAACTTTTTTGGCCAGGCTTCGCGCCGCCCGCCGGGGGACCACCCAAGGTGGTGGTGGGCTTAGGGTGGCAAACTTTCTGCCCAGATAGGCCAGGGTGCCAGCTTCGTCCTTCCCGTATCTTCAACATCACGGCAGTAGCACCATCCTCCCCCGGGCGCGCCACGCTGAGCGGGGGGCGGTGCGGCGGAGCCCTGCGCTCGTTCCGGCAGCGGGCGCCGCTCCGCTTCGGCCCGCCCCGCACCGGAGAGAGGGCGACAGGCTTCGCCGGACTCTGCTGCTGCTGCTGCTGCCGCCACCACCGCCGCCGTCCCCGTCGCAGGAGGAGAAGGATGGAGCCGGGCAAAGAGCCCCCAGTGACCACGGGGGAGAAGCCCAGCGAACCAGAGCCGGCGGTTTCCTTCCAGGCCCGGCTGTGGAAGAACCTGCAGCTGGGGGGCAAGGGCCGGAGCGGCGGCGGGCGGGCAGCAGCCGAGCGCCGCACTGCGGAGCCCCTCGCCCCGCCGCCGGCCGGAGGCAAGGGGGACCCCCAGCCCGGCGGCAAGTGGAGCGGCTTCAAGCGGCGGCGGCAGGTGCTAGACCGCGTCTTTTCTTCCTCCCAGCCCAACCTATGCTGCTCGGCCGCCGAGCCGCTGGAGCCGACCGGCGAGTCCGGCTCCACCCTGCGCCGCCTGCGGGAGCACCTGCTTCCCCAAGGCAAGGGCCCGCCGCCCGGCCGCCGCCCGGAGCCCGCCGCCGGCTGTGAGGGGCCGGCGGGTGGCAGGGAGGGGCGCCGGCCCGGGGCGCACCTGTCCCACCAGAAGAGCTCCTCGCTGCCCAGTACCGCCTGCCTGGAGCAGCTGCTGCAGGGCTCGCCCGCCGCCGGCAGGATCCAGGACCAGCGGACGGAGGACGGCGAAAGCAGCGCGGTGAGTGCCGACCCGCGTCGCCCCTCTGTGTATAGGGGCGGGAGGGGTGGTAATCCCCGGGGAGGGGAGAGGAAGTGGGAAGGGAGCTGAGGTAAGGAGAGGTGGGAGGGCGACCGCTGGGGAAGGGAGCTGAGGGGAGGCGAAGGACAGCCACGGCTGAGTCTCAGCTCTCCTCTCGCTCCCTCGCTATTGAGGAGTGCCTTTCGCCTAAGGAGGGAACGGCTCGGGTCCCGCTCGCATCCCGCGTCGGAGCCCTGCACTCCCCCGGCACGCCGTGACAGGCGGTGTGGCGGGCCCGAACCTTGGGAGCACCTCTGCCAACCGTGCTCCTGCTCCGCTGCAGGAGCGACCTCCCTCAGACCTTCATTGCATAAACCATGTAGAGGAAAGGTGTCTCGGAGGCTGGAGTTAGGCTTCCCTCGCTCTCACGCCTTTCCCCAGTGGCCGCCTCGCACGTCTCTGAGGGCCGTCTCTGCTGATGTCTGCTCTAAACACATGCAGCACGGCTTTACCTCAGGTAACCTCGGCTTTTTTCCTTTTTTGGTTAGCCAGATTTTAATTACTATGCCTTTTGACTTCTGCAAGACGCACAAACGACGACCACTAGTACACATTTAATAGATGGTAGGTAATTATTTGGCACCTACACACTGGGTACTGTCTCATGCAGCTGTTAGTTCAGTCTGCAAGACCATCGTCCTGGTTTTTGGGAGAAGGCAGTAAACAAAGCCGTAACTCTTCCAACTGTCAGTTTTAAAATTACATGGTGAAGCTATTGTTGATAGGGGCTGCTGAATTTTGGAATAAATTTACTGCAAGAAAAGTGCAAAAACATATGAGTATTTTCGGATCTTCTGTAATTCTAAGCAATCATCCATGTTTTTAATTTATGACTAATGCATATTATTATAAATTGTTTTATCTCATAATCAGGGAGAAATGAGTAGCTGAAGTAAAAGGCATGCTCTCTGTGTTGACAAAAATATGCTGTATAAATGCATTTAACTGCTGCCAGAGCAGAACCTGTGTTAATGAAGAGTGATAGTAGTTCTGCAGCGATTTGCAAGTCTACCTTGAGGTCAGGGTTACTTTAATGTCCCTTTCCAGGATTGAAAGGAGTTTGTCTTCACAAATATGAGAGCTAGACTTAACTTTATACCATGGGGTTCCTTTGTTTATAATCACTGGCCTGACTGGAAACTAATGTGGTTACCTCTTGTATAATGCTTGTTAAAGGTTTAGATCATCGCTTATTGAGGTGGGGTTATTGGACAGGTGTGTATAAAGTGGGCATTTTCCTGCATCTTCCTCCCCAAACCCCTGTCTCACAAGAATGTATTTTAAGTATTTAAGCATTTTAAGTATTTAAGTACTGTTGTTTGAGATGACAGGACATTACTCTGCTTTAAAGACTGCTGCATCTAGCAATATGATAATGTGTGACTTTCTTCAGTGTTGTTCTGCTGTTGTGTTTAGTACAGAATTGTAAATGTTTATTTACAACACATGTCAAGTGCTTTTTAGTTGTGAGGGCATTACTCTCGTTTAGATCAAGCTAAAGTCAAAGCATTAGCGTACTGCTATACCAAATCAATTTAGCCTAACACTTGTTTTAAATCAGCAGGATTATGACTGATTCTTCCAAGTGTTTTCTAGTATTAATTTGGGCTGTGCCTGGATACCAGATATGCTTGTTTGTGTGTTGGTGAAGTTTGCAGAGCTGCTGATTGTGTTGGGATGATCTAAACCAGAATAGCTTCTTTGTCATTTCATAATAAGCACATTCACTGCTTTTATCAACACTAAAGTATAATCTCACTTGGGTTATTAAATCTACTTTAATTCACCAGCTTCACTGAGTTACAGGATACTTGGGGAAGTAATACTCCAATTATAAAGCATTGTTGATTATCTTCAAGTATGCCTAGTACTCTTCAGTGATCTGTTAACAGAGTAAGTACCTTCCGCTGTGAGCAGCTGGAGTTTCCAGTTCACTGTACCTCAGTAGTCAAGTCTTGCATGCCTACAGGCTGCGCCCCAGGGCAGTGAGGTCCCTGCCTAACCTCAGTCATGGCCTTTACACCCCTCTGACCATTTGGGATTACACATCTGGTAGCATGGGTTTGTAATAACTTGCATTTTTCAAATTCAAGTTACACTTACAGCATATTCTGGTTTTAACAACTGCAGGGAACCAAACTCCAAACAAGCTGTTCCCTTTCCCACTGTGCCTCCTGACAGTGGAGAGACAATAAGAAGAGATTATGAGTTGAAATAACAATTTACTAAAATCAAAATTACCACAGCAGTATCAGTAGCAAGAAAAGTATTTTAAAAGAGGGTGTTCCACCCACAAAAGGGCATTTATCACTGGGAACAAAAGAAAAAATGCTTCCCAAAGACAGTGCCTGGTATGGACTCCAGACAAAGGCAATATGGCCATGAGAACTCTGGTGGCTTCATGTTCTCATCCCCCTGGCTCAGTCTAAGTAGGGCAAGCAAACCCCTCAGAATCCTGCACCATGCTACTGCCTCAGACCACTGAGTGGTTGGGTTCTGCACAGCCTTCTCTGGCCCTGCCATCAGTCACTTGGCTCTGCAGGGGTTTGGGGTCTGAATGGCTCAGCTGAGATTGGCTCTCTGCCGCCCCTTTTCTCTCTCCTTTTTTCTAATTTTCCCTGGAGTGCTTGGCTTGGACTCTGCATTGCTGTCCTTCAGCACCACATCTTAAAGCCACAGCTCGCAGGAATGGGAAAGGGACTGAACAGTGGTGAAGAGGGGCTGGGTCCACATGGCTGATCCCCATACCTTCTCGCTGGAGAGAGCCAGGCAATGTGGTGCACTTCCCCTCCTGCTCCTTGGCTTTTCCTGCTGGGACCACTCCCCCTTTGACCACAGCGATGACGTGTGTGTTATGGAATGAACAGCATTAAAAGCTCCGTTCCATTTTTTCTGTAACCAGGACACAGCAGCACAGACTTTCAGCAGTGTCTGGATTTTCATTGTCTTTCATTGTGGCCTTACATGTCCAAAGACACAAAAAAAGTATATCAGAATCATTAAAATGAGATTAAATTACCTAAAAGTATATCAACATGAAATTGCAACTTCTTTTAAAATCTTTGTACAATTTTCTTGAAACAGAGAGCAAGCAGATGCTACTGCCTCTTTTGGATCAAGACTGTTGAATTTTTCAGCAAATCTGCACACAAAACGATCTATTACGTATTTTAAGGGAGATGGTGAAGAGAAATAAAATCCCACAAGTCAATTTTTTTGTGCTTTTAAGCCAAAATAATACAGTTGTCATCAATAGAAAGAAGCATAAGTTAGTGGGTGGGAAGACTTTGAATGTAAGATTTTATCTTGAAATTTAATTTTTGGCATAATCAAGCCATTTAAATTGAATTTGATCTCATTAAAATGTGGTATAGCACTATTGCATTGGGCACGGACAGTCTAGCAGAGACCTAGTTTTTTTCAGTATTGAATAAAGCTTCTGTTGCATTGAATAGGATTAGTACCTTGGTTTGAGTAGTGCTGCACAAATAGAAGTGTGGTCTTATGCAAACAATACGTATTACATTTGAGCACTGAATACTAACCTAGGTCTTTACTGAAGACTGAATACTTCTTGGAGCTGTCCGGGAATATTTTTTGGAAAGAGCATTTTAAGTATTTATTGGCAGGAAACTTAAGTTTCTTTTAAACAGTAACTGAAGTGTAAATGTGTGTTTTTAGGACAAAGAAATGAACATGTGCAATTATGCATCATCCTTCTCCACTGTCCAAAGACTATGAGACAGGTTTCCTCAGCCAAACTTTTCATAACTTTCCATGTGGTAGCCAGGCACTGTCATGTAGCTGAGAGCCATGTGTGTGCTCCATCCTTGAAGCACTGAGATGATGGTGATGGATGCCTCCGGGGGTGTCCCCTGGACAGGAGATGACAGCAACACTCCAGGAGCAATGCTTCACAAGGCTTCCAGTGTCTGAGTGGAATGCCATGGCCCAAGGCAATGAGGCAAGGGTTTTTCTACTTGTCCCTTTTAATTTTTCTTTCTGTACCAGCTGGAGCGTGAATTTATCTGACAGTGCCTGTGCCAGCATGGCCTTTCTCTTTAATGTGAGACATAGCTTTGCATGAAAAGTTTTGCATCACAATAATTTAGTGAAAAACAGGAGGGGAGAAATATCCCTGTTTCTTCTTTCTGATTTGCAGTAATAGAGACCCTACAACTGTTTCACTATCTTAAGCAAAGAACATGGCATATGTCATATTGAATTACCAGTGAACATGAAGAGGGCTTAGGGAAGGGGTTCTTGATTTAAAGGATGTCTAGGCTGCAGTCTGACTTCCACAGTGAGAACTCCTGTGGGCACTTCTCCCTGGTGTGTTTTTCTTGCAACATAACAAATCTGATAAGAACTAATTTTGTAATCTTTTAAAAATTTGTCCAGGTTGATCCATTAAACCAAAAAATGGACAGGTTCTTACCCCCTTCCCTCAAGTTTCCAGTTCTGAGTGGCTGTGAATAGTTTGGAGGTGTGGGACACCACTGGGGTTATTGCAGAGAGAAGATGGGGGCTGGCTAGAGCTGCTACTCAACCTCTAATTTCTTAGCCATAGGAAAGCAAGTTTTGTTAATTTTATGACACATGGAGCTATTTGTTTCATTAATAAGCAGGGACTGGAAAACAGTGGTCTAGAATATATAATAAAGACTATGAGAGATAAGATGAAGTGAAAAATTGGAGATGCATCCAGACACAGACTCTTTCCCATTCTTACAAATAAAGGTTAACTATTAGTCAATAAAGCTGATGTAAGAGGGTGAACTGTAGGGCACAAGAGGAGGACCTGCAGAAAGAAGGGGAGTTTAGTGAGCTAGGTGGTATGGCAAGACATTGTACTTTCAGAGCAAAGAGCATTGTCTTGTACTGAGATGTTGGGAAAGAGAAAGGAAATTGTATTGAGTAGAAAACAGAGCTGGGAGGAA